GGACGCCAAGTGTGTTGTCGGCGCCAGCCATTGCCAATGGGGGTGGCATTGCCGCAGGCAGCCTGGTGGCCACTCTGCAGTCAGTGGGTGAGTGTCTCCTGGGACCCCAGCCAGGATAGGCCAGGCCAGAGCTCAGCCCCGGAGACTCCTCCCTGCAGGGCTGACCCTCTGCATCCCTGGGCCTTTGTCTCTCCCTCACTATCCCTTCTGGTGCGCAGGGGAGCACCCAGGAGGTCACACAGGCTGCACACTGCAAGCCTGAGCAGGTCTCCCCACTCTCTGGGCTCCTGGAAGATCTGGAACCCACTGTTTCCCAGAGGGCCCACCCTGGACTGTCAGGCTTCCCTCCACAGCTCACTGCCCTGTGAGCAGCTGCCTGCAGCAGCCCTGCCCAAGACAGAGCAGGGCGGGGGTGGGCGAGGCTTCCCGAGCGACCAGGACACTGCCTTTCCCTTGCGCTGACCTCTTCTCTCCCTCAGGGGCAGCCGGACTCTCCACGTCATCCAACGTCCTCATGGGCTCTGTTGGCGCTGCTTTGGGAGGCTGGCTGGGGAGTTTAAGAAAGGCGTCACCTCCCTCTCCTCCAGCTGGACCCAATACTGAAGCAGAGAGGGAACCCCAAGGCGGAGGTGACTCTCCAAAGCCCAGTCCCCCAAACGACAAGCCCTCTGCTCCCCGAAAATAGTTCAAGGACACATGAGAAATAAAGATGAGAGGCCGTGACCTTTCACAGGTATCTGTGTGTCACCCAGAGGTTGGGACAGTCCTTCCTGGGGGAGGAAGGAGCAGTGGGCCGCAGTGAGACGGCCCAGGTCTGTCCCCAGTCCTGCTGCTCACACTGTGGCCCAGGCAGGTCACGGCTGCCCTTTGCCCTCCTCACAGGCCGGAGGGATTGGACCGCGTTTACTGAGGGCTGGCCGGGGGCGGTGATGGCACACCTGACGCTCGGCCCCCACGGGGGCCACTGACCTTCATTTCCCAAGCGTGTGCCCCCTCCACCTAGGATATGGGTCTGGCTGCGTGGTGACAAGTTCAGCCACCCTGGGTCTGCCTGGAAGCAGGCCCTGGGCTGCCCACATAGTCGAGAACTTTCATTTATCCAGAGCCGCGTCCCTGTTGGTCCAAAGCCCGGGGTCCTCAGCCCCACGTGGGACCAACCAGAGCCTGCGGCTGGGCTGGCCTCCCTCCCCTGGACAGGCTCCTGAAAGGCAGGCCAGTGCCCAGGCCGGTGCAGAGCTCTCACTTCCAGGGGCCTCCTGTGCCTGGCCTGTGGGAGGTGCCAGGTGTCCCAGGACACTGACCCGGCGCCTGTCACCTTTCTAGGGTGAAGAAAAGCCACACTCAGCTCCTGGAAGGCCTGTCGAGGCCCGAGTTCTGACCTCAGCCTGTGGGCTCCAGGACCTCGGCACAGCCTGCATGGTCCACGTGACCGTCACACATGTTCTTCCTTCACCGGCCACACCCACCGGGCTCACTCTGGGGTACTAGCTCAGCTCACACCCCATTTCCTGGCTGGCCTCAGGGCTCCATCCCACAGATCCCCTGGCTGCAGAGGACCAGGGAGGTCCCTCTGGTCCAAGTCACATGGAGCTGGGGAGCCCAGAACATGCTCACTGGTGGTATGAGGGGACTTGGAGTAATGCCAGAAATGACCACACTCCCCACCTCCCCGTGCCCGGCCCTGTCAGTGCACCTGTCCAAGTCTTCCCATCAGAAAGTGGGTTGCGTCCCCTCTGCTTCCCTGGAAGGGGCTTTGGCCAGGAGACCGCAGTGGGAGGGGTGAACCTGGGCCCGGAGAGGCCTGGAGCCATCTGCCGTTCCTTCGGGACCCACCACTGCCGCGAGAACTGGCCAGGTGGTGCTGGGGGGCAACAAGCACACGCACG